AAAACTTGGCGCTGGTTATTAATCGTTTCTCAGTTGCCTGACTTTATTAAGACAATCGACGACAAGTTTGAGAATCATGACTTGGAAGGTACGAGATCATGACACATGATTTTATGCCGTTCCAGAACGTTAACCGAGATTGCACTAGCCGCTTGGCCTTCGACCATCGACGACTTTGTAGATTGGGCAAAGGAGAAAATACAGGCAGGACAGGCGTGAGACTTGGATATATGCTAACAGGACAGGTTAGCGCTACATATATGGATTTTAACCGTCTTGTTCACGAGGACAATACCAATAAACTAATTACCGGTGTTTTTGGCGGAGGATTTAGACTTTACTGAGCATCGAAATGCGCCGGTCTGACAAAATCGCCGGCGCACACAGACCATAACTTTCACATTAACCCAGGCTTCTCCGAGAATCACCCGATAGGGTCTAACAGTAGCTCGCAAAGGTCCCGTGTTGATGGATGGCATGATCAGCCGGCGACTACGACGGCGGGAACGCATATATAAACGACCGGGCTTCGTATCCCACTCCACCCCCACTCCCACTACTGACTTTCTACCCCACCCCAAATGGCGCCACGTCCGTTCAAGCCCCTCGATATCGAGGAGATTATCTCCAAGCTTACATTGAACGAGAAGTCGAGGTTGTTGGCTGGTATTGACAATGTACGTGGCAGCATATAAAGGACAGAGCGCAAGTCTAACAGTTGAATTTGTGTAGTGGCATACTTATCCAGTTCCTCGCCTTGGTGTACCATCTCTCCGCGTGAGTCGCCACCCGGCAGATCATACAATCACTGTAATTGAGGTTTTCCTTAGTTTACTGATGGTCCTAATGGGGCTCGTGGGACCATGTGTGAGTATATTATTCGCTGCCAAGCATTTTGTTTTGCTTAGCATATTCTTGTATTTTAGTCTTCGAAGGTGTTCCGGCGGCTTGTTTCCCTGCCGCGACAGGCCTTGCCTCCTCCTGGGATCTGGAGTTTGCTCAGAAAGTAGGCCAGGCCATCGCTCTTGATTGCAAGGACAAAGGTTCGTCCTTTCATGGCCAACCTCTTGGCTTTCTAGGCTCATCGTTTTATCCACGTCTTCAGGTGCCCACGTCCTCCTTGGCCCCACAGTCAACATCCAGCGCTCTCCTCTAGGCGGCCGTGGCTTTGAATCCTACTCCGAAGATCCCCACCTATCAGGCACGCTTGCTCGTGCGTTCATCAAGGGTGTTCAGTCTGAGAACGTTGCCGCTACGATCAAGCACTATGTTTGCAACGACGCTGAGTTTGAGCGTATGTCAATGTCGTGTGAGTACCGTCTTTATTCGATGTGTACTTGGGCTTAACTAAGGAGTGAATACGCACCAGCTGAGGTTTCGATTCGCGCGCTTCGTGAAATATATTTGCGTCCGTTTGAGTTAGCGATCCGCGATAACAAGGATGCGCCTTGGGCCATTATGTCTGGATACAATCGTGTGAACGGTACGCTGCAGTCGAATGGGGTCTCCAGGTCCTCAGCTACTCACGAACAGTCGAATTGCAGGTCTACACGCCTCGGAGCACAAGCAGTGGGTATTTTCAACAAGTAGGGTCCAGTTCGGTTTCTGACCCAAGGATTTCAGTTTGCTTGACTCTGTGTTACGCAAACAGTGGGGATGGGACGGGATGATTATGTCCGACTGGTAGGTCATTGAAACCGTTATCGTCCAGTAGAACTAATTTTGTACGTTTACGCCAGGTATGGTACATATTCGACCGACACAGCGATCAAGGCCGGGCTCGATCTTGAGATGCCTGTGAGTAAATTGGGGCTCGCATCAGTAAGGCTATTTGTTAAGAGGCGCATATAGGGACCGCCAACCTGGCGTGCGGACGCCCTGCAACGCTGCGTTGTTGCGCAAAAGCTTCGAGTAGCTGAGGTCGATGATCGTGTGCGCAAGGTGGGTGACTCATCCTTCTAGTATTCAGGATGCGACTCAAGCTGGGGTCTGCTAGGTTCTGGGCCTCATCAACCAAGTCGCTGCATCTGGTATTCCCGAGAACGCAGAAGAGACCGGCATCCCAAAGAAAGAAACCGTCGATCTTCTCCGCCAGGCAGCAGCTGTACGAATCTGTTCTCTAGCGTTAGACGCCTCTTTAACCCGTATTTTTCGCAGGGAGCCAATGTTCTCCTTAAGAATAGCGCTTCTCTTCTCCCACTCTCTGCCTCTTCGACATCTTCAATCGCAGTGATCGGCCCCAACGCCGACGCGCCCGTCTACTCAGGCGGAGGATCTGCCAATCTCCGCCCATACAAACATACCACCGCGCTTGAAGGTATCCGGGCCGCGCTTCCTGCTTCGGCCAAAGTACACCACGCAATCGGATCCCATGCACACAAGGAGGCACCATTGTTGCTTGATAAACACTTGAAGACTAAAAGCGGAGAGCCAGGGTTTGATATCGAGTGGTTTAACGAAGACCCGCTTCAGGTTCCAGGAACGAAGAGAATACATTATACGCGGGGGACAAGCTCATTCTCATTCTTCAACGACAACTTGCCTATCGACGTGAGTGGTTGTGGTATGGGGTGCATGCATGGTATTGACGAGAGTAGATCCTCGCGCCGGCATGCTGGGCGACGATAACCGGGTACTATACCCCTGAATTTTCGGGCACGGTTCGTCCCGGAGGCCAACTCTATGCGCATCTGCTAACATACATTCATAGTACGAGTTTGGTGTCGCCGCCACAGGATTGGCTGATATCTACGTCAATGGCAAAAAGATCGTTGACAATTCTACCAGCCCCATACCTGGACGTAGGTTTCTTTTCTCTCTTTCTGCTGCCACTTGTCTGACTTTTCTACCGTCAGATGTATTCTTTATGACTGGCACGCTTGAAACCACAGGCACCATCGAGCTTGAGGGAGGAAAACCAGCCGAAATCGTTTTACAGTACGCAAGCCCAGTCGCTGCGCAATCCAAAGGATTCGCTCAGGTCGGTGCTGGTTCCCTCTCGAACGAGAGCAGGGGTGGCTGCCGATTTGGGTGCTCGCGCGTGTTCGAAGATGATGTTGGGGTTAATGAGGCGGTGGAAATTGCGAAGAAGGTTGAGACTGTTGTGCTTGTCGTGGGTTTGAACAATGGTATGCTTTCCGGGCGTCTCACTCAATTATATTAACGAACTTCCGCAGATTGGGAGTCTGAAGGCTACGACCGGACAGATCTGGTTCTTCCACGCGCGACGAACAAGCTTATTCAGTCGGTACTTGATGTGAACAAGAACACTGTTGTGGTTATCATCAGTGGCACGCCTGTTTCGATGCCATGGGTTGACTCGGCTTCGACAATTGTTCAGTCCTTCTATGCGGGCGGCGAGGCTGGCAATGGACTGGCGGATGTCTTGTTCGGGAAGGTTAACCCAAGCTCGAAGCTACCACTTACTTTCCCAATTGTGAGTGTTTACTGCCTTAACCGAAACTGTATGTTGAACATGGCTTCCACTACGCAGAGGGATGAGGACACGCCCTCGCATTTGAACTTCCCAGGTCAAAATGGGAAAATTCTGTACTGTGAGTTTAAGATCCTAAAACTAACAATAAATCGCTAACTATATGCGCCAATAGCCGAAGGCGTCTTTGTTGGGTACAGGCATTACCAGACCTTCAAGAAAGACGTGCTTTTCCCCTTCGGCTTTGGTCTCTCGTGAGTAATTTTCTACACCTGTCTTGTTTTCTCTTAGCTAAGTTCCGGAATAAATCAGGTATACCCAATTTGAGCACTCGAACCTGAAGGTGTCTGGGTCGATTGGTAAGGATAGCCAAGTCACGGTATCGATAACCGTCAAGAATACTGGCAAGGTTGCTGGTCGAGACATTGTGTAAGCTCTCAATCCATACTCCATACTACCCGGTTCTCACAACCGTCGTTCAGCCAAGTATATGTTCGCGACCTCGTTTCCCGCCTCGATCGACCTGTGAAAGAGCTCAAAGGGTTTGCTAAGACGAAGACTATTGAACCCGGAAAGTCTGATACCGTCTCGATATCCCTCGACAAGTACGCCTTTGGTTACTTTGACGATTGGGCTGGTGAAGGCAAAGACGGAGAGGGCTTGTGGGTTGCAGAGGCGGGCGACTTCGAGATTGTGGCGGCAGCCAGCAGTGCGGATTCTGGACTGGTTGCTTCTATCAGCTTAAAGGAGCCGTTTAGCTGGCTTTGAGGATTTTAAAAAGGATGCCTGGTGCTTGATGTTAGATTTTAATTCAATGCATGATATTCAACTATCACCTGCGAGTCGCTGAAGAGGAGGGACGAGAGTGTACATAGCAAAAGGTGAGTATACTAAACGGTGGGGGAAGCGGCAGAAGACGCGGCTCCGGGGTCTCTCGCCGCCACCGGGGTACCGGAAGAACCAGGTCCGGCAAGCAGGTCAAGCCGTCACGGGGAGTAAGTACAAACAGCGAGACGTGAGCAAAAGATGAAAAAGATAACAGGAGAATGAGAAGAAGTAGAAACCAAGAAGCAGATATAAAACAAAAGGTGAGAAACCGTACAGGGAAGTAAGACGATTAAGGGGTAGGAGGTCAGGGCGGGAGGGAAAGCTAAACCGCGCGCCAGGCCGCAAGCGTGGAGGAGGAAAAACAATGCGATACGAAGAGGATACAGTGCAGCTGTAAGTGAAAGACGCGGGCAACGGAGACCAGACGCAAGATATATGTACAAAGAAAAAGCTTCAAGCGCGGGCGCTGAGGCGGTGGCGGTGCGAGGCGCTCGCTGTGATAGCCCAGGCCAACGTGCAACAAGAAACGCGAAGGTTGGCCGGGGGTTGGGTGTGCAATCGTTTGGGCACCAGCCCCAGAAGATGAATACGACGCGGGAAACAACGAGACCCAATTGTATGCGCTCACACAACTTCGAGGTTTTGCCAAGTGAGCAAGCCCCAAGTTCGCGATTGTATGTTTAAGTGAATCTTAAACGACTATGCTACATTTCGAGCAGGTTTTAGAGGTTAAAAGGGTTGCTCCCTGAGAGGCTCGAACTCTCGACCTTTGGATTACGTAATCATAGACCACTCATATAAATATGAGACCAACGCTCTACCAACTGAGCCAAGGAAGCGTAACATCAGGCTGAAGCGGATATCCCCGGAGGCCTGGGCTCGCTGGGTAGCTACCTAAATCTAACTTAACTTAGTAGAAGCAGACTTCCACTAGTATTATAATGTAGTTTAAGATCGACTGGTTGATAGTGATACATATGCGCATATATCCCAGATTGCATGAGCTAGGCTGAGCGGTACATACAACTGAAATCTAGTACAAGTCCGGTACACCAGCCCCAACTCTAGAAGCCACACACCTCCTGAAACAGATAACACAGAATACAACAGAACACAATGCTCCCTTTCATGAAACTTGGTAGTAGGAAAGCAACGCTTGTCATGACTTCAAGGACTCCACTAAACCCTGACCTCGCTCCTCTCCGTTATAGAGCAATACACCGCGCAATTCAGTGCTATCCAACCGTAGCCCGAGTTCAAATTCTGACCAGGTGCTTCATCAGCTTGCGAAAACGGGCGACTCAGATCAGACGTCACCTGTATAGAATCCGTTCTAAACATTTGCAGAAAAGTAGTTAGTTCAAACATGATATCGAGGCACTAGATGATTTACCCGATTGTGTGCCTTGGCATTCTCTTTGAAGTTTGGCAGTAAGCTCAGATCAATGGTCCACTTGCATAACTCGGTCGTTTCGCCTTCGTCCGTGTATCGCATAATGCGCTCACTGTCTGACGTGTATATTTGCACTTCGAAGGCATAATCTTGTTGAATACCGTTAGCACCTTCCGAACGCATGGAGGAACACACGAAACAGACCTTCGATGCTTTTCGAGAATTTACAAAACTTAACCTTCACAGTCTGGCCTTTTTTCAGGACAGCTCCTTTTTGGATAAGGTACTGTAGTCGATTGCTGCAGATACTGTGCCCCCGGGTATCTTCAGCAATGTAGCCAGCACGCATCCTCCAGTCTTCAGGCTCAGCAGGGAGCTTAACCTGTAAGTTGGTACTTCGGAGTAAATTAACGCTCAAATTCAGTCGAGGAGCGTACCCGCATAACATATGACCGAGGTGCAATGTACGACGACATTAAGACGCTGTGTTCGAGACCGTAGAGAGCGGCCCCACGGCACGCTGCAGTATCTGCATCGGGCGGACGAGCAATGATCTTGATCCGAGGTTCAAATTGTTTCTGAGATTCAATTTTGCAGGTTAGCAGAATAGTAATTGAGGTTTGCAGGGTGCATGGAGATGATACGACGCACTTTAATTTTCTTGAATAAGCATTCACTGCGAGCAAACCTGCCTACCAACAGCAAACCATCTATCTCGTGCCCGCACTTAGATATTTGGTCGTTAATAAACCAAACTAATAGGTCGATTACTGGGTCAAACACCTGCTGTGACGTTTAGCATTGTCTCTAGAAAATCATACTAGAAGTTGTGCAGCGAGAGCAGCGGGCGTACCTCGCTGCGTAGCAACATCCCCGGGATGTTAAGCTCTCCATTTATCAGTCCAATAGACCGGTCATCCGGATATTCAGCATTGAAACAGCCAAACGGAAATAATGCGCCTGCACTGAAGTCGGTATCATACCTATCTCCCAGCGATCAGTTACTCACAATCATCCTCCTCTCCCGCAAAGGAAAGCTTGACTGTTTCGTCAAACGCTGTCTGAAAATACCCCAGGCTTGTAGGGTCTGTATGCGCTTGATGCCTCACCAACAACCTCGTCACCAGATCTCGGAACCTAACCGCATGGATAAATATTCAATATTGGGTGTTCAAGTTGCAAGTAGACTCGTACCGGAGACTTAGAAAAGAATCTCCACAATTCGCCTGAGTGCTCACGCACACCTCTCCTATCTCCAGGTTCCTCAGGCTTCCTAACATCCTATAAATAACCAAGTCGACCGTGCTCCCTCCGGCATCGCAGACCATAAAGTACTGTGAGGGCCGGAGTTGCCGGAGGTCTGTAAATTGAGAGCAGTGCGCAGCCGCTGCTTCCGCTTTGCTGAAAACAGGGCAAGCAGGTAGCGTCAAAGTACGGTAATATTCAAGGTTAGACGAACCTGATAACTTTCAATCGGTCTTTCCATTTGTTTTCTGAAACTTTGGTTGAAACATTTCCCCATACGAGTCCAGCTCGAAGCGCAACCTCACGCATGAGGTTGCAAGCCTCGGTGTTCCAAGGAGCAGGGACTGTGATCCACACTTCTGAGCGACCTTTCGTTGACGGAGAGTCAGCAAACGACGTAAAATACGGGCATATAGGAGGCTTTGTTGGCTGCAGCCAGGGTTTGTTGTGTTGATTTAAGCCTTACCAAAAACAGAAACACTTACCCATATCGATCACCGCTCCAATCTCACGCGTGATTTGCTGCAAAACGTGGCTTCGTAAACACGACAAGAAGTCAGAGACGAAATCGATAGGAAGTTTCCCGCCCTACCAGCAAAGTATGGCGAAAACCAGTTAATCAGTACCATAAACTGCTTGAAAGATTGAAACTTACCGGGAGTCTCGGCATATGAGAATTAGGAGTGCGGTGTAGACCCTTCGGTTCCAGGAACTCTCTGAACCCTGCCGTTTGTTTACTCAATATGTGCCGAGTTAGATGTCTATAATCACCCACATTCGCAACTCACAAATCCCAAGCCGGCAGACGCGTTCTGTGAGATAAATAACTCGATCAGATCTAAACATTGTAAGTTATATGAACACGCACTTGGGCTTCTATGCCCCAGGTTCGAACCTCCCCTCGCTCACTATAGCGCAAGCAAGTTGGGATTCTTCGCATATTCTGATCTGAACCTGGCCACTGGAGAATCTGTGTTATACGTTCTGTAATGTTTGTCGCGTACGCCTATGAACAAGTGAGCTATTGGTACTGAGCTTGTCGTAACAACCCAACTCACCACAGCTGTGAAGTCCGCCCCAAAGTCTATGGACACAACAAT